AGGATAGATGTTTGACAGGGAAGAAGGAGCAAACCACAGCAGAGCACCCGCCAACCACCCAAAAAGATGTTACTAGAGAGTAACATAACATACAAAGAAAAGAAGGGGGGGAGGGGAGATAAAAAGGATAGATATTTGACAGGAAAGAAGGAGCAAACCACAGCAGAGCACCAGCCAACCACACACGTATAGATGTTTGACAGGAAAGAAAGAGCAAACCACAGCAGAGCACCCAACCCCCCTCCCCCACGAGCAGACGTACCTGAGGTAGACGACAAAGTAGTCGGAGAGCCCCTGGTCGTTGAACGTCTCCTTTAGCTTCTCCACCGTGCCGGGGCTCTTCACCTGGCTCACAATGTCCATGAACTGGGGAGACACGAGAGAGAGGCGGTCAACGATCAAACACATGGCTCTCTTCTCTCCGAGACGGACGATACAATCTAAGGTTTTAGCTTTTTATATTTAAGCCTAAAGTGTCCAAAGTCAAAGGGGTGCTAAACACATTTAATAACCAATGATTTTTGGAGATTTTTCAATTCTATGAAGAAGCAAACAAAAAGGCATAAAAACCATGAGTTGGGCTGTAATATAAACTACAACTTGCAATATTAGTGAGTGGACCTACTCAGTGTTTAGTTTTAGTAAGAGTTTTACGGCACTTGCAAACACAATAAGGTCATATAAGTGCCGAAGATTCGAGGTGTTACAAGAGAGTAACAAACACAAGAAAGAAGCAGGGGAGACAAAGACAATAGATGTCTGATAGGAAAGAAGAAGCAAACCACACCAGAGCACCCGCCAACCACCTACAAAAAAAGATATAAAAACCATGAGTTGGGCTATAATACAAACTACAACTTGCAATATTTGTGAATGGACCATCAAAAAATAGCCTCCAAGGCAGCAAATTAAGATAATTTTATTTTTTAACACTTATTTTAAACATACAAGAAATAAACCACACAGAATAACTAGATCTACCCTTTTGTGACCGCTCCAGTAGATCGAAAACCAAACATCTCAAAATTACTTGACGGGTGAATATAAAGAACATATTATATCTGTCCTCGTGGTTTTATGCACCCCGCATAATTTTGAAAAATTCGATCATTTTTTGCATAATTTCTTATTATTTTCCTTTATCATTCTTTGTTCAAATTAACATAATCGCATAATTTCACATTTCTGGGCTCAGTTTGCATAATTTCATTATTTTTCTTGCATAATACGATGGGGACAGTTATATCATAAATACCCAAAAATAACAATTTCTACGGGAAAAAACTTGTCAAGCAGTGAGCCTGGTAATATGATTTATTTACTCACAACGTCGTGGAAGTCTTCCAAGGTAAACTGGGGAAAGCCGAGAGCCAAGAGTTTATCCTTGGACTTCTGGGTAATGTCCACAAACCTGGGACGGAGAACACGAACAAACTCTGAGTTTTTGTTTGAGTAAGAGTTTTACGACACTTGCAATACAACAAGGTCATATAAGTGCCGAAGACTAGGGGTATTAAAAGAGAGTAACAAACATAAAACAGAAGGAGAGATCAGGACAATAGATGTTTGATAGGAAAGAAGGAGCAAACCACACCAGAGCACCTGCCAACCACCCACATGTTTTTTTCTGTCTTGACAGACCATCTCAAAGCAGCATACATGCTTCAGCTTTGCCTGGGCGGTTAACATAGAGGAAGTAGATCTTACAGCAGTATGCATGATAAGATACAGCTTTGTGTGGGCGGTAGACATAGAGGAAGTAGATCTTAACGCAATGTACATGATACAGCTTTGTGTAGTAGACATAGAGGAAGTAGATCTTACAGCAGTATACAAGATACAGCTTTGTGTGGTAGACATAGAGGAAGTAGATCTTACAGTAGTATACAAGATACAGCTTTGTGAGGTAGACATAGAGGAAGTAGATCTTACAGCAGTATACATGATACAGCTTTGTGTAGTAGACATAGCGGAAGTAGATCTTACAGCAGTATAGGGCCTACATGATACAGCTTTGTGTGGTAGACGTAGAGGAAGTAGATCTTACAGCAGTATACATGATACAGCTGTGTCTGGAAGGTAGACACAGAGGAAACAGATTGCCAAAGTAGGTGCCTACTACTTCACTTCATTTCACTTCAGATCTTGACTTCCTTCATACACTCCAAAGGAGAGACATAGACATTGTCAATACATTTGGAAATAAGGACGGTGTAAGAGTGTATAAGGAACCATATATAAACATTATCCCACATTTCAAAGCCACTGACATAAACTTTTCAGATCAACAAAGTTATCACACAAAAAGATAAGAAAGAAAAAGAGTGTTCTGACTTGATTAGTGGAGGACAACGGAGAATCTTGGAGCCCTACCCCCTCTTCTCCCCCCCCCCT